GAAAGTTGCCTCCTGTATAGGTAATCCACATCAAGACGATGTCGACGAAGACATGCTCCGTGATGTGGCTTGTGAACCACTCTACCACCGCCGCGACTACTACAACTTGAAGCTGCTGCTCGTCGCCTTGACCTCCGCCTTGGCCTTGTTCCCGTCGAGCCCGACAACCTCGCCCTTGCGGTTGATCACCTTGACTCCGCCCTTCTTCAAGTCCGCCATCGTATCCTTCTGCATCTGCGCCTTCTTGCTGAGCGGCTTCTTGTCCGTCCCGCCCGCCTTGCGGATCCGCTCCTTTTCGCGGCGGCGCCGCCGCACCTTGTCCTCCCGCGACATCTCCTCCCGCGCCATCGGCAGCCCGCTCTTGCCCAGCACCACCTCGCCCTTCTCCGCCGTCTCCTTGCCGGCCTTGTACACCTCTTGCGGCGCAATCATGCTCTGCCCGCCGCTGACGCCCTGCGCCGTCGCCGGCTGCGCGTCCTCCATCGCAATCGTCGCCGCGTCCGACACCACCGTCAGCGACGGCGCCGCCGCCTTGGGCTTGTAGTGCCAGTTGCTCAGCGAGTCCAGCTTGGTGCTCAGGTCCTTCCACATGCGCTCAATCTCCGCCTCCTCCTTTGCGAGCTTCTCGTCCGACTTGCTGACGTAGTTGTCCGGGTCCGCGTTCTTGATGTGCTCCTCCTCGTAAATCTCCGCCAGACCCTTGCCGGACTTGGAATCGTCCAGCTCAATCAGGCCCCGGCGCGTGCCCTCGGGCACGTTCTCGGCGCCGGGCCGGCGGCGGGGAACCTCGTCAAAGTCCTGCGCCAGGATCCTCCGCTTGATGAGGTCCTCGATGCTCTCGCTGACCTCGGCCGTGATGATGGGCACCGGCTTGCCCAGGTGCTCAAAGGACATGTCCTCCTCGAGCAGCGAGTTCATCGGGCGCTCGGCGGCCGACGCCTCACCAGTCAATGTCCACTGGCGCTTGGCGACCGACTCGGCCTCAAGTTTGCGGATCTCCTCGGCGAGCTTGGCCTGGCGCCTCTCGTGCGCGGACCGGCGCGATCGCGGGTCGCCCGCCGAGACGTCAGACAGGGCGTCGTCCGAGTCGTCGCCGTGGTCAGAGTCGTCGTCAAAGAGGTCCTTCTTGACGTCCGCCATGGCTCGCTCGACGTCCTCCTCCTGAATTGCCTTGGGCGCGAACCGCACGGACTTGTTCTTCTTGTGTTTGCCGTCCTTGGATGCCTTCTTCGCCGGTGGTGCAAAGAAGTCCTTGAAGTAGATGCCGTTCGCGTTGAACTCCTCCTCCTCGTTGTCCATGGCATCCATGTCCTCGTCGTCACTGGCGCCTTCGGGGGCGTTAAGGTCCATGTCGCCGAATGTGGGACCGTCGTCTTCGGAACCCTCCTCGTCTGAACCAGCGTCGTCGTCCATGTCGACGTCCTTGTTGTTTGATGAGCTGGACTTGCTTGGTGCTGACATGGGGTCGGCGTTCCAGTCGATCTCTTCGTCGTCGCTGTTGGCGTCCGTGTTGGGGTCTCCTCGTGCGTCTTGCTCCTCGAACCACTGGGTTTGCTTGTTGAAGGAGTCGATTGAGAAGAAACCGTCGTTGAGTCCGTTGGGGTCCTCGACATATTCCTCCTCGTCATCTTCTTCTTCTTCCTCGTCGTCTTCTTCACCATCCTCCTCCTCCTCGTCTTCGTCCATGTCCTCGAGATCACCTGTGAGACCTTCAACATCCGAGCCCTCAAGCTCCTCAGCGTCGGAATCCTCCTCGGCGCTCTCCAGATCAGAGCCTGACAGCTCTTCCTCGTCACTGGAGCCCTCGTCGTCAAGGTTTTCGGAAGCCGTCTCGAAAGACAGAATCGAGCTCTCTGAGCCATTGTCCTCGTTGGTAACAACCTCATTCCGGTCCTCAAGCTCCTGCAGTGTCTCCTTGGAGTGGTTCAAAGCGCTCTGGATAATACGACGGGCCTGCTGCCAGACCTGGCTCGTCTCGAACCCGTCGACATGGACCTTGCGAATCTTGAGAACATCAGGCCCCGCGCCGCCGCCGTCGGCCCGCTTGCGCTTCTTCGTCGCCTCCTTCAGCAGGCGCAGCTGCTCGTCGCTGATCTGCCCGGCGAACGCATCGAGGGTATCCTTGACGACCTGGAGAGAGGCGGACGGGATCGCGGGCGGCGGTTGGAGAAAGGCGTGTCGGTTCTGGGCGTCCAGGTTTTCGAAGAGGGCCTTCACGTCGACGACGCCGCCGTTGGGGAGCTGAGCGGCCATGCCGGGCGCAAATGTGAGGGTATTTGACGTCAGGGAGGAAGATGTGCTGCTGCCCGTCGCCATGATATCTTTTCTTTTCTTTTCCTTCCGTGGCTCGCTCGCTCGCTCGGAATATGCGTGTTTCGGCCGTGCAAGAATTGGACTGGACTTTTTTTTTTTTTTTTGGTCGGACATGGGCTTGCACTTTCCGTCAAAAAAATTTGGGACCCCGCAAAACGTCCGGGATCGTGGGTCTGATCATGATTGGCCAATGAGATCTGTGCTGCCTGTCAAGCCTCATTAGCTAATCATTCTGGTTCATCCGTTCTGCACCTCTTTGGGTCGGTTCGTTTGTGAAATCTAATGTTAGTTGTATTCGCCATTAACCGTAGGGTGCCTTGATAGCAATATTGAATAGAAAATAGCTCAATCGAGTTCGAAGAACCAAGTGTTCACACTGGCCCTCTACAGCTCACTGAAATCGTGACGATAACTGCCTGCACAACATTCGAATGCAACGGTCTACATGAAAGTATATGCACAATCACCTGCGTCAAATGCCCGTTGTTGAATGCTGCTCGACTATTCAGGTACTCGTAGGATGCACTCAAGAACGTTGCGGCTCGGTGGTGGGGCCGATCCGGTCCCATGATGGAGGTCGGGTACCTCCGAATGATTACTAAGAACGGCAAGGACCCCAATGGCCTTGACTTACATCTCTCATCCCGTCAGTATTCGCTTCATCTTACACCTTAGAAGACATAGAACTAAAGAATCATTGGTGCCGTAGATTCCAAGACCGGATTTCTTATTGGATCAGATACGACGAAGATCCACGCGCAAATCGGGTTCATACGCAAGTCTTCCGGCTCTTTCAGACTTCATAGTAGGAGAAGCAACCAGTTGAACGCTTGAGCTCATTACACCTTCGCGAACCCAAAGGTCCCGCCTTCATGCAAGTCTCACATATACCACAGCTAAGTTCTCTCTGTTTTATTATGATCATCATTGATGACTTGGAAGAGAAATCTGATCACGGGATTCTGCATTATGACTCACAAGCTAACCCTCCAAGCAGCACCATCGAAATGTCCAAAGTAGGCGTATCAGACGACCCGGCCGCAGCAGTCGCGGCATCCCGCTCCGACGGCAAGACTCATCTGCTCCTATGCGCCAGCGGCTCAGTGGCCACCATCAAGTTGCCCAACATCATCAAAGCCCTTAGCCACCACAAGAACCTCGCCATAAGAGTCATCCTCACGGCCTCGGCAACAGAGTTCCTGAACGGTTCAACAGAGGAACAGCCCTCTCTTGCCGCAATAAGAGCGCTTCCAAATGTTGAAGGCATTCACTTGGATGCGGATGAGTGGGTACAGCCTTGGCGGCGCGGTGCGTCGATTCTGCATATTGAGTTGCGACGGTGTAAGTCAAATAGTCTCCCGTAAATTTGTAACTTGTGAGATTGCCTTGCTAACTTGTATTCCGTACACTAGGGGCGGACTTGATGCTCGTCGCTCCACTCTCAGCAAACACACTGGCCAAAATCGTCAACGGCTTCTCAGACAACCTCTTGGTAAGCACTAAATACCTAAAATATAGGCTCTGCCCTGGAACTAATGCTTCTGTAGACAAGTGTGGTTCGAGCATGGGATGCAGATGGACTCATCGATGGCCGGAAAAAGAAGATCCTCGTGGCTACCGCGATGAACTCGGCCATGTATGCGCATCCTATTACCGCGAAGCAGGTCAAGGTGCTGGAAGAAGAGTGGTCGTGGTTCGAGGTACTGAGACCGATCGAGAAGACACTTGCTTGTGGTGACACTGGGAGCGGTGCAATGATGTCGTGGGAGGATATAGTCAAGGTGACGGAGACGAGGCTTGGCCTTTGATACCATATCACGTACGTAAGTTGCCGGAAGGAAGATTGATGAAGCTGGCCTTTTGGCAGGATTTTGGCTTGGAGTAAGGTTGTTTATACGCGCATGGCCATTATCTTGTTGGCTCGCTTGACCATCAACACGTCGAGCAAATAGACAGAGACGAAGGTAGCAAGTGGGAAGGCCACTTGCGGGTGAGGACGGACGCATCGTGGCGACTTGGCTAGCGCAGAAAGTCCAACGGCAGTCACTTGAGACTCTTACTATCAGGTTCATGTTTCAAATGGCCGTTGATGCTGTACTAAGGCTTTCAACCTAGTGCATTGTGTACGGTGACCCAAGAAAACTAGTCAGGTTGCATTGCCATCGACAGGCACTGAATACCTTCTTGGATGATTTTCGCGTGTCCATAGTCAGTAAGATGCTTTGGACACAATCATTTCGCATGTGCTAGCATGTCCTGGGTACTCATAGGTGTGGTGGAAGAGAACATCGCGCGTTCCTTCTGATCTTCTACTTTTCAGGTCCAATTTGATGAGAGCGCTAGTTGCGAAATGTTAGGACATGAGGTGGTATGAGTGAGAAAAAGAGATGGAAGGCGTCCTTGAACTGATCAGTCAGAATCCCTTGTTCAAAACATGTGAAAATGAGACAGAGAGCAGTCAGAATCAGAGCTCGATAGACAGGGTACCTGAGATGGGTATCAAAAGCTCGGGCTGGGGGGATGACATTTGCCATGCACTGATTGGCGCTCTGCGCAGCCAACATGAGGTGGAGTGCGACATCGGTGACCTCGGTGAGAAAAGGCCCAAGCTCCCTCACCGAGAACCACACCTCGGATTACATCACCCATTCCGCAATCCCATGACATTTTCGCATTTCTCTTCAACTGCTTCCCCCCCGTTGACCACCCCTTCAACACATCCACTCCACAGCAAAGATGTTCTCAAGGACGTTCCTCCGCTCAGTAAGTTCAAACCCAACCATATAAATAACCCAAACGACCCAACTCATCCCGAGACCGTCAACCTCGTCGTGCGCAATCGCTAACCCCCGGTGTCTTTTCGTAGAATTTCGCAAGGCAAGCCGTCCGGCCGGCGGCGCGCCCAATCGCCTTCCGGGCCCCGCTCCCCTTCCTCACCCAGCACCGCCTCATCTCCGACGAGACCAAGCAGGCCATCGAGAACGCCGTCGGCTCCGCGCCCGTCGTGCTCTTCATGAAGGGAACCCCCGAGACGCCCCAGTGCGGCTTCTCCCGCGCCTCGATCCAGATCCTCGGCCTCCAGGGCGTCGACCCCTCCAAGTTTGCCGCCTTTAACGTCCTGGCCGATCCCGAGCTGCGTCAAGGTATGTCGATACACTCTCTATACATGGAAAAACTTTGTAGACTTTGGCATTGGGACGAACGGAATGATGACTTGTTTTGCGTGTGAATCCAGGCATCAAGGAGTTCTCCGACTGGCCTACGATCCCCCAACTCTACGTCGACAAGGAGTTTGTCGGCGGCTGCGACATTCTCGTTTCCATGCACCAGAACGGCGAGCTGGCCAAGCTTCTCGAGGAGAAGAAGGTCCTTGCCGAGGGCGAGGGCGAGGGCGAGAAGAAGGAGTAAGAGGAGGGAAAGCAAGCTAGATGTCCAGCGCCGGAAAGCGTTTGGAAGACTGTACAACTGTATCATACCAAAGGGAAGGCAAGTCATGCGTGGGTCATGGCCGGAGGAAATAGAGTGGTATTTATTGGCAAACTCCTAAACAATACTTTTTTATTTTTATTTTTGTATCCCTTATTGCGCAGTTGAGAATTTCGTTGAACAGATGGTGAGGTAGATGGGTGCTGCGATGCTATCCCCTATTCCCCCTATGCAATCTGAAAGCCATCACGAGACCCGAAAGTTGGCATTTCAACGCAGCTGAATCTTTCGCTCGATCAAGACTCGAAAAGGCAACCCGATTATGGTCGAACGGATCCATTGTTGGCATGCTGCACGGAGGCAAATAATCCACGGGGTGGGAGAGAACCAGAGGAGCAAAAAACGATTCTTCCACATCGCATCGAACAAAAAAAACTAAACGCCAAAATATGGTGATCAAAGGAACTGAAATCCACACTCAGGTCTCTCCCCAAGACCCCCTCGACCACCTACCCCGAGTCGCTTGGTGATAGGGATGGACACTGCGTCGGATACAAGGACTCGGGACTTCAATGGTTGGTAGTATTCGGGATGAATACCACGGCGGTCGTACCTTTCGGTGATCCAAGACTGAATCCGATTCCAATTTCCCACGCCATGGCCAATAGTATTACGGTTACGAATTATCTGAATACTCGACCTCAGGCACCTCAAAGTGCCGGGTACGCAGCACCATCACCGCGCGGGTCACTTCCCGCAGACCACACGCCAGTCCCCTCAACTGTATCAACGGTATGTCTAATGATCTGTCCGCGGCCAAACACACCCCTCTCAGATCCGGTAACAACATCAACCTTGTGCCCAAGCTTCCGCAGACCCTCCACCGTCTCCTCCGGCATGCCCTCCTCCACGCTAACAGTCCAGTCAAAGTCCGCGTCCCTCTCGGGCAGACCTGCAACAATACACACGCGCGGCGCATCGAGCGTCTGCTGCGGCGTGAGGCCCGCGACGAGCTGACCAAGGAGAACCTGCACGTGGCCCTGGGGCTGCATGAAGCCGCCCATGACGCCGAAAGCGCTGTGCAGCGACCCGTCCGCCGCGTTCGTCACCATGCCGGGGATAATGGTGTGGTACGGGCGCTTCCTGGGCTCCAGCTTGTTAGGATGATCCGCGTCGAGGCTAAAGTTCGCCCCGCGGTTCTGCAGCGTGAAGCCGCAGCCCTTGGGGATGATGCAGGTGCCGAAACCGCCGTAGTTGCTATTGATAAAGGACGCGGCGTTGCCGTGCTCGTCCGAGACGGAGAAGTAGACGGTATCGCTGCTCTGGAGGGCCGGGGAGACGTGTTTGGGGGGGTCGCCGACGTGGAGCTTCTGCATGGCCTTGGTCGGGTCGAAGAGCTTCGCGCGGGCGGCCGAGTACTCACGCGAGATGAGGCCGGCCGAGGGCACGGAGACGACGTTGGGATCGGTGACGTACCAGCTCGCGTCGGTGAAGCCGAGGCGGAGGGCCTCGATGATGGCGTGGAGGTAGGGCGCCGTGTTGTGGTCTTCTGCGGACCAGGCGGGGACGACGCCTGAGTCTTGGAGCTCTTGGATGATGCCGAGGGCCATGAGGGCGACGATGCCCTGGCCGTTGGGCGGGTGCTCCCAGACTTCGACGGCGCCGTCGCCACTGCCGCCGGTGGAGGATGACGCTCCGTTGGCTTCCTTTTTGAGGGCTGGCTTGAACTTGAGTGAGATTGGGTCGACGGGCTCGCTTCCCAGCTCGAGGTGGTGGGCTAGATCTTCGAGTTCCAGGTGGCCGCCGAGATCCTTGACGACCTTGACCAGCTCCTCGGCGATGCGTCCCGTGTAGAAGCCCTTCTTGCCCTCCTTTGCGAGGGTGCGGAAAGTCTGCGCCAGGGTGGGGTTCTTCATGATCTCGCCGGGGTTGGGCGCTCTCACGCCGTCTGACGCCTTGGGGTCCTTCTTCAACATTTCTGCAAAGTTGGGAGAGGCCTCTCTGATCTGGGGCTCTGCTGTGTTCCACTATCAAAAGGTATCAGCAATCGTATCTTGATAAATGTCTATACACAACTCAAGGCAATGAGCTAACCCTAACACAAAAGGTGAGAACGTACGTAGTGACTTGTCAACTCCGAAACAGGGAATCCCTTCTCTCCGAGCTCGATAGCTGGGGACAGCACCCGCTCGAGGGAAACCTTGCCGCTGCCAAATCGCTCAATGGTGTCGACCCAGCCCGATGCGGCACCGGGGACGGTCACGGCATGGACGCTCTTCATTGGGATCTTGCCAGACGCGCCTTCCTTGATGCCGAGATCTTTGCGGATGGTCTCGAGAGTCGACTTCTGAGCCGAGCGGCCGGAGCCGTTCATGGCTGATACCTTCTTGGTGGCGGCATCGTAGAAGAGGATGAACATGTCGCCGCCGATGCCTGTGGAGCACGGCTCTGTCATGTTCAGTCCGGCGGCTGGAAACAGAACACAGTTTGTTAGCAATCTAAACTTCACGTCTGATCATGATCAATCATTTGATGAATCGGTAAAGTAATGGTTGACTAACCAACTGCGACGGCGGCATCCTGATCACTGGCTGTCAGTCTTGATCACGGATGCATTGACTCAGGAGACTGAGGCGCGACTTACAGCGGCATTACCACCGGCCTGAAGAATTTCAATACCACATTTTGCGGCCAGCGGCTGCGTGCAAGATACGATTCCCTTTGTGCTGTGGACGACACTCCTTCGACTGGCGAACTTTGCGAATTCGCTTGCCTGCGCCGAGTGGAGGGACTCGCTGGTGAGGGGCATGGTGAATCGCGCGCGGTGCGGGGTTATCGATCGCGATAACCGATAGGGACAGTGGTGATGATGAGACGGCGGGGCAGTTCTTTTTTGGGGGCCGGAGGAAGTCTTATGAGATAAATGCGATATTATCTCAGTCTTTCAAGAGGCGATTCTTACTTAAAGAACAACGATTGTACGAGATCTTTTGGAAAATATAGATGTCGTCATACAAAAAGGGCGTAAGGTGCAGCGAGTTCGGAGATGGGATGCGCTGAACAGATAGGTAATAAGCCACCCCAGGTCCAGGTTTTCGGGAAATCTAGCCGATGAAGAGAGAACGGTGTCTGAGTGGCAGTCTCGTCGACGGGGGATATGATGCCGGTAGTCGGTTAAGGAGGAGCAGCAGTCAATAGGATAGGTCAGAACTTGAGCGTTGAAGATATAATGATCCTGTACGTAATGCCTAGGTTGGGGGCCCAAGGGTGGTTACCGAGAGAGGTAGGTCGATAAGTCAACGGCGGTACGGAGCAGGATGTGGACGGGGGAAACTGGCGCTAGTGGAGTTTGTGCTCCGCATGAGAAGCTCCTCGGGGTAGATGCCGAGAAAGAGGATACTCGCGAAGTATGGCACTCAGTTGACAGTTGAGTAGTGCGTGAGTTCAAGTGATGCGAGCGAGGGTAGAGTATGAATGTCGACACGGGGCGCGGAGGAGTCTTGAGGGAAGACTCTGATTTTCAGAAGAAAGTCTGTTTGTTCAAGTGGCATGTTGCACGTCCTCCATCACTCTGCCTAGGTGGAATGGCAGATAGAGGAGACCGACTTATTTAAGCCATCATATAGAGCTAGATCGTTCATTACACGTGGAGCTATCCCGCGCGGTAGGACAATGTCAGGTACTTGCAGGGAGGGGGGCCTCTCAACTTCTCAAGTATCCGATCTGGGAAGAAAAGACCCCGAAACGGTCTCTTTCAGCACTGTCGTTCCCATTGTAACGCCGCACCGGCGGCCGCCGCCGGCAAAAGGTCCGAAACTCGGGGCTTGTTTCAACGGCACCAGTGTGGCATTGTAGCACGGTCAAAAAGTGCCCGGGGAAAAGTAATGGCAGTTGTAGTTAGAACAGTAGTTGTCATGAAAGTCTAGAAGTGAAGAATTGGAATTATTTGAACTCTCTCATGTACGTCCCATCCTTTTTCGGTTCGTCATCCCATGTTCTTGGTTCGTCTTCCTTGTTATGCCCTCGGGGTCCGGATCCCATGACCAATCTAGCACTGCGCTCTTCCGCCATATAATTAACAAGTTGACCCAAACAGGCGGATCATCCCGCCGGGTCTTGAAGTCTATGACTGCGAACTGACACCCCAAAACGTGGGTCTGATCCGAATAACGATCGCGAGCCTAGCCAAGCCGAATTTTTTAGACTCCTTGCCCAGAGAGCTAGAACCAGTAGTCCAGACACTTCTCGCAGAAACATAAGCTGTCCTTCTAGAACAAAGTCAAAAATAAGCAGTCCGGGATGAGCGCAGGGATGTGAGCTTTAATTCGCATCAACCGGCTCTTTCCCCCTCCAACTCAATTGACACTTCTCCCCTTCTAAGAGAGGTGGGAGAAGAAAAGGATAGTGTGTCTGTGAGGGGCCATTGGAAGAGCCCCAATGAGGGCTGTTTATGCGATGAAAGTGTTTCAACTCATCCAGGTCTAATTGCGCTTGTCGTCTTTTGTCCAACGTGTTCATGCGGCACTGACTCTATACTGCAGACGTCGTCTGGTTGTCAGGATGATTGGGCAATCACATGCTTATGACATCGACTGACCTCCAATTGCGTGTGTTAGGCTATCGAGGACGAAGATCGATGCTTTCGCACATCGCCAAGCCTTGAGATTCTTCGATCGCAAAAGTCCAATATTCTGGTAGACGCTGCCTCCCCTGAGTAAACCCATTGTTTCGGTAATATCTCTAGCTCAAATAACATTGTCGTACTGCCATAGCCTGGGTAGTCACTCGATCTGCGATTGGTTCGACAGCTCATGTGAGAAACAGACATGGCGATGCCTTCGATGTAACGCCAATCAGCCTCGAAACGGATCCGTAGGAACTACGTAGGACGGCATACGACCCTCCTGCTGTGGTGACGTGCCAGATACTTATACGCTACTACCCACATACTTTTTCGGGAAGTTTTCTGGCCGCTTTCAACTCATCGTCGTCTGACTGGCACTCGCAATTCGAAACCTGAGGGATCCTGTGCCCAACGAACCAGGTGGTCTTATGTCGCCTGCTCAGATGTCTTACAATTTCACACGGCATGGGCGCGTCTGGCTTTAGGCGGTCGTCAGCCTTACTGCAGGGGCATATTACGTCTATAGCTTCTGCAACTTTCATCGGAACTAGTTTGCAAGCGTTTTGCCACACGAAAGACTTTGATAATTAAGGTGTAGAGGATACACTCCAAGACTCTAGGGGCACTTCATAGCTGACTTCCTTCGTACCCCAGCGCGTATTACTCACAACGACTGTGGTTCTACGAATTGGGCACCTTCTTTTTGCTTGATGTGTCCCCGTGGTCCGGCATAGTCGAGGCATCGCTGAAGAAAGCCTGAGAAGCCTCGTGCCAAGCGCTACACGATGGTCAACACATTCCTAACACACAATGGTGTCCTGGGTCATAAGGCCCATGATGAACAGTTCCATGCGGCTCAGCAAATGTTCTCTTGGGTTCAACAAAAATTCCGCAGTTGTGTGTTACTTGAGACTCCCGGATTACTGTTGCCTACGCTGCACCCGAGAAGGCTGAGATGGCGATGCCGAATTGGGTGACAGTGAGACAGAGATATTGTTAAAAATAAACGTTCGGTCCCTGGCATACAGCTGCGATTCTCTTCTATCGGATCAAGGGACTTTTTGGCCCCCGCAGCCTGATTTTGACGATATTCCTCCGGGCGCTAATTGGTTGTGATCCTGCGTAGTGCGACGCACACAACATGCAAGTAAGCACGTAGCCTTCCTGATGACATTAGTGTCTCCAAGGGGAGCTGGAACTTGGAAGGAACGTAGCAGCTGCGCGACTATGGCGCAGTTTTCGCTGATGGTTCTCTTTGATATTTAGTGTCGTCATTCAGACAACCTGATATCTCAAAACTTCGACTTCAACTTCTGGCTCGTCATTCAGAAGCAACAGAGTCAGCGATGTCGACGAAGTGATGACCGAGGCCCTTCTTCACGATATCTGACCAAATTGCGCATTATTGATTGGTCTTTGAGAGAAGCCAAGCTTGTTACTCTAAAACTTGAGGAATCACTTCAACATGGCGACTTCTCCTACGTTGCGGATGGACTGGGTTTATTACCTTCCTGGCAATCAAAATTGGGCCGACTCCGTGTTCAACATCTACCAAAAAGCGAAGGACTCGGATGACCGCAATATCACTGTCTCTCTGCCATACCAATGGAATCAGTTATCAATTGACTTCAATGTACAGAAAGAATGTTACGACACAAAATCTCTGTTCGGTTACTCTACTACGAGATATGGACCTTCCACTGCAAACTTATACGGGTGCGCCGCTATCGCGACCTCGGCATTCCTTATGCAGAGTGAGAAAATCATAATCGACAAGACTGTCAACGAAACGCTTTCAACAGTGAACTTGGACTCCTTAAAGGATTTCAATGCCACGCGGGTCTTCGAGCAGATTTTTGGCTGTATCGAACAATCCTGCAGCAAAAAAAACCCTTTGGGAGAGTGCGATGCCGGCGTCGCGAGGCTCACGCGAAGCCAAGTCAAAGCTGATGAACTGGATAAGATCTTGGACCCCCTCCAAAACTTGTGCTCCGTCCTATCAAAAGGACCGGAAGCCGACATTGCTGGTCCCGGTGTAAGTCAAACCATTGATGCGAGATGTTGACCCTGTCGCTGATAAAAAACGGTAGATTGCAGTCTCCTACTACATACAAGTTGCATTGAGCATCTGGTTCTTCATCTTCTGCGGTCTGCTCCCTCACCAGCCCGACTCTTCCACCTTTTTCGGCACGTTACTTGTTTTCAGGTGGTTCTTCAGGCTTTTTCGCAAGCGCCCAGAGACCGAGATGGATCGCTTGCGCTCGACCTTGGCGCACCTACGCTCGACTCGGTTCTCCGTGGCCTTGTGCTCAACCATGATCGAGTTCCAAGAAACGCAGGCCTTTTTCGTCATGGCTATTGAAACAGCGACGTTGACCATGGTCATCATGAACAGCCAGTCTCTCGCCATCCGAGTCGACGTCGGTGTCGCCAAGGTATTCGCGAGTGCCAATACGCTGCTGGTGCTCATCACGCAGGCCATCATGCAACGCAGAGGCATGTACTGGTGGTACACATTCATACTCACAGTCATCGTCTACGTCTTGTGCGCTATTATACAAATGATCAGCCTTCCGACGCCATCGTTTCTCTCAGATCCGGACCCAAAATTCGCGGACTGCGGCGGAAGGCACAGCATTCTGCAAACGTGTGTGCAGGCTGAATACGGCGGCGATTACTACATCTATGGCGGGTATCTCCGATCTAGTGACCAGAGCATCCAGTTTTTCATCTATACATCAATCATGGTCTTTCTGACAGCGGATCATCTGGGCCATGTCCCTCGTCTCGGCAAAATGATGTCCTCGGCAACCCAAGCTCTGAGAGGGCGTAAAATTCAGATCCCCGCTTGGGTTCTCAAAACATTTTCCGTCTTGGGAAAGATTTTGTGGTTTTTACTAGTGGCTCTCATGGCTTACACTCTTTTATTCAACATTGTTCAAGTACATAGCTTCGTTCGAGAAACTTTGCGCAGCAAAGAGCAGTGGACTTTTGGCCAGGTTGTGGCGGTTCTGGTTTGGGCACCAGTACTGTCAAAGTACATCTACTACAATATTTGTAAGTTCGACTCTAGCATCATCCGAGGTGGAGGTCTTGAATATTAACGCAATGGCTGACTTTTTAATCCTTCTAGTCGGCATCGAACTCGGCGTTGGCAAGCGAATAGACGACCAATACAAGGTCGTACTCAACGAAGAGAAGACACCATCAACGCCCCCTGGAGCACAAGGACGTTTTGATTCTTCTAGGAGCTTGGTAGATGAAAGTAGTTACATCAGCCTGAGCACCATGGGGGACGGTCATGAAGATCAGAGACCCCCAAGGATAGAGACAAGGTCATTTTCAGGAGGGGTTAAGCGCAAACCGTTGCCGTCGAGGGCCGACACTGAGTTGCCCAGATGAGGTGCGGGAGGCTGGAAGTACAGCAGACGGCTAGATCGGAGTGGATTCCATTTCATAGAACTTAATGAAGCTTGAACGTGAATTTAACTTTTCAAAGTTTTCAAAGTGGTTGCTTTTGACATCCTCGACAACGTCCCTGCTTGGCCTCAGGTACTATTCAGAAAACTTATTCCCAGGCTTCGAGATTTTTCCACGATGCTATATATTCGATGGAACTACCCAAGTATACGGCTCTGCAACGGTTCTGCGGTTGGTGATGGCGTGGCTGAACCTTGTTGGCCTACCCAGGGTGTATTTCAACATGATCCTCGTGGCATCCGCAACGGTTGTCCGCAACCTTGTGTCGGTTGTTCCTGAAAATTCTAACCATAAACTTCGACATCAACACCGTGATGGCTTTTTCTTTTGCGGGCCTGCTCGTGACTCTGTGGTTCCCTCAAAGCTTTCTCCGAAACATCTCTTCCAGAAAGCTATATAAAGGAAGCCGGTCCCCTCCCAGGACCATAATCCTCCCAATCTTCCATCTCTCTCCCACACACAACCATCAATCATCAACTTAAATACCCAACTCCAAACAGACAAACAAACAACCAAGTTCTTCAAGATGCCTTCCCAGACTTCTACTCTTTACTTCCTCACCCTGGCCCTCGCCGCCACAACCTCAGCCATCGCTATTCCAGCTAAGGCCTCTCCCCTCACTACTGTCATGACTCCCACAACAACCATCAGCTCAGTCGTGACAAGCTACTCTCCCATACCAACCAAAATCACGGGCTGGAAATGGGTGGCCGACTTGTCTGACTACATCAAGTTGACAATCAAGGAGAAGGAAGACGGTTACGACATCAAAGAAGACGAGAACGCCTCTGTTACAGTACCCACCATCACCGAGACTTTCAGCACGGTGACTCCTTCAGCTCTCAGCAGTGCCGCCATCGTCGCCCCCACACTCACTCTCACTCACGAGACCTCAGCCAAGGCCGTCCCAACAGAGGATGCCATGGCCTGGAACTGGGCCCTCCCCGCTCTCCAGCTCATTGAAGCCCGCGAGCTCGGAGACTCCACCACCTTTGCCAACCGCCGCACAGGTTCTGGAACCGACAAGGCGGACAAGTCCTACGTCATAGAGGACAAGAAGAAGGAGGAAGAACGCAAACTCCGCCTCGATGAGGCCGCAAAGGAGATCATCGGACAAATGAATCCCCCTTCCCTGCCCCTGCAGACCGACAGCCCCGACAAAGTCGAACCTTCCAAGAAAAAGGCCGATTTCACCATCCTCACCGAGACCCGTCTCTTCAAGACCATGGCAACCCCGGCTATCAAGGCTCGGGCTTCCACCACCACCGTGACCATGGAGTCTAAGCCTACGCCCACCAAGAAGGCCAAAGCCGACTTCACGATTCAGACGGATACGAGGCTGTACTCAACCGTCACAACTCCGACGGCAACGGCTCAGGGGCCTAAAGCCACAATCACGATGGAGGGTTAAGCCTATTCGGTAGATCGTGAGAGGGAAGGGAGCATCATTAAGACCACAAGTGGTCGGTCGTCCCCGAGAGGTATTCTTCTCGGTATACTAGGGTAGAAATACAAAGGGATTACTGAACGTATTATCTGTGATTGTTTTGCCTTAATGCTATCTGTTTACTCTATCAATGACGCTGCTACAACCCCTACCCTCAGGCAACGTCCCGTCGATTACGACGCCGACGAGTCTGCGACTGGAGGGCCCGATGTAACTGACGTAACCAATTGGAAATGGGCAGCCAGCGTTTGTAGAGTAGAGTATCAAGGGTAAGGAAGATGATTTAAATACCAAAGAGGAGAAGGAGAACACTTCCATTCCCTTTGGTAGTTCCAACCATCACAAATACATTCAACTCTATGCCTGCTCCAGCCCATAGCAACCGACTTCATTCGCCACTGTTTGATGTCTTATATGGGCTTTAGGTGAGCCTTGAATGCCAAAGTAGACGGACTTTCCTATCCACACGCAAACGAGCCTTCTTCGGAACGACCCTCGCGGATGTACATGGAAGATTCTCTTAGACCTGCAGAGCAGTATCCTCCCTGTTCGCATGACTCCCCTTCCTCCACCCATCCGTCGGGTCCTTCTTGCTACTAACCCCCTTCTCGGCCCCAACTTTGCCCCATCCACCACCGCCAGGCGTATTGATAACAATCCTCTCCCCAGGCTTCATCGGCGCGCTATTCTTCGCTCCCAGGTTAAACCTCCGCTCCTCATACTCCACCACCTGTTCCTTCTCCTCTCCAGCAGCACCCTTCAACCTCTTCAGTGACTTCTCCCAGCTCCCCTTCTCAACCTTCCTCACCCAAACATTCAATCCAGCCTCAGCATCCTCCCCGCCAGCAAGCCCATACGGCCTATACACTCTCCTCTCGCTCAGAATCGACACCTGCACGGGGATCCGGAACTCGATATCCCTCACGACACCATCACCACCCCTATGCTGCCCATTACCACCAGACCCCTTCCGCAACGAAAACTCTCGCAAAATCACGGGATACCGCCTCTCGAACACCTCCGAGTCAGTGATGCGGGTATTCGTCATGTGCGTATGCACACCACTCGTACCCTCCCAGCTCGGCCCCGCACCGCTACCGCCCGCAATCGTCTCGTAGTATCCGAACCCCTTCACCTCCTTCTGCCCCGTCACATTCCCTCCGAACCCGAACGTGAGGTTATTGCAGTCGCCCTGGCTTGCTGCGCACGCCTGGAAGGCCTTGAAGATGACGTCCGTCACGCGCTGGCTCGTCAGGACGTTGCCGCCCACGACGGCTGCCCCGTCCGACGGTGACAGCAGCGATTTGGGCGGGATCTTGACGTTAATCGGCTTCAGGCATCCCTGGTTCAGGGGTATGTCTTCTGAAATAAGACAGCGGAGGCAGTAAATGATTGCACTGTAAGTCACGGCTTCGGGGGCGTTGACGTTGCCGTAGACTTCGGGCCCGGTACCCTCGAAGTCAAATACCGCCTCGCCCTTATTAGCATCGATCGTGACCTTGAGACGAATCGGGCTGCCGTCGTCCATGAAGTCCACCGCTTGCAAGTCTTTGCCCTCGAATCGCTTACTAACCTCCTTCAGCAGAGTACGGACGCACAACTCGGCGTTATTCTGAATGTGCACCATGTAAAACTGCACAGTCTCCTCGCCGTACTCCGCAATGAGACCTTCAATCAGCGCGATACCCTTTTGGTTCGCCGAGACCTGGGCTCTCAGATCGTTGATATTGTCAGCCAAGCAACGTGTTCCGCTGCACCCGGGGTACTGCGCGGGCTCGTTGTACAACAACTCCGTCACTCTCTTTTCATCGAAACGTCCTTCGCTAACAAGCTTCTCGCTCTTAATCGCAGCGCCCTCCTGGAACAGCTCCTTTGAGTGGGGAGGCATACTACCAGCCGTGATACCTCCGATATCAGCATGATGCGCTCTCGAGGCGGCATAGAAGAGGATCTTGTCGCCCTTGTCGTTGAAAGCCGGCATCACGAGGGTGATGTCTGGCAAGTGGGTGCCTCCGTAGGAAGGGTGGTTGGAAATGATAACGTCGCCCTTCTTCAAATCACCCTTCCAGATTTCGGCCTGTCGCTTGACGCAGGTTGACATTGAGCCCAAGTGAACGGGGAGATGGGGCGCATTGGCTACAAGGCCGCCCGTCGCGTCAAAGATGGCGCAGGAGAAGTCGAGTCTCTCTTTGACGTTGGTGCTGACGCTGGTTTTTTGGAGTGCTCTGCCCATTTGTTCTGCGATGGCCATGAATCGATGACCAAAAATGCTCAGCATGATCGGGTCGACTTCTCGTTCGCCTTGGTTCTTGGGTAATCTACACCCAGAGGTAAGCTTCACGTTTTGAAATTGGATGACTCTTACATACCCGTCTTCTTTGGACCCTTCCTTCTGGATATCGATCACGACATGAGTATCAAGAACCAGTGCAGTGGCCTTTGGCGTAACCACGATAGTCTGCGTACCATCCGCCAGCATGGCAGGTCCTTTGATAGTCTCGCCGGTACTCAAGTCCTCAAGCTTGTATACTGGGGTATCAAGCCGGCCCTCTTCAAAATACACCTGCTGTCGGTTATGCGCCTTACTCTGCTCCACATCCTGTCTCTTCAACTCCTTGAGCTGCTGATCCACCGTCTTCTCCGCATGCCTGAAGCTCTTTCCGATACCGCGAACGCGCACATCATCGACAATGATATCTCGATCGTCGAGGGTGAAGCCAAACTCATAGCGATGCTGCTGAATAAAAGCCGTGCCAAAGTCCCAGTCCTTGGTATCCTTCTGCTCGTCCTGATCGGGTCTGATAATCATCAACGCGGACTCGGTACCGCGATACCTCATGTTGAGGTACTCTTCAAACACAATCTCCTTTTCATCGAAACCCTGGTCGCGCAAGGCCTTGCGCGACTTGTCCTTGAGCTTCTCCATCTTGCTCTTCAGCTCATCGACTGCTTTGCCGGGGTACTCCCAGACCTTGGATTCAGGTTCCTGGCGCTCGTCGACGACGTCTGCGAGTGCCATGCCGTAGGCTGATAATACAGAAGAGTACCTGTGGATGAGAATCTGCTGAATACCCAGAGCCTCGGCAATGGCAACAGCATGCTGTCCACCGGCACCACCAAATGTTGCCAATCGGTGCTTGGAGGAATCATGTCCTTTGGCTTCAGTGATGGACCTGATGGGTCTCGTCATCGTCTCGTTGGCGACAGTCAAGAAGCCGTACGCCACCTCGTCAACGCTCATACTCTTCCCAGTCTCCTTATTAACCTGGTCCGCAAGTTCCTGCAGGACCTTTCTACTAGCCTCAGGATCAAGCCCTTGGTCCTCATTCTCGCCAAAGATCTTGGGGAAGAACTCGGGAAGCAAACGACCAAGGTAGAGATTAGCATCAGTCACAGTCGCCGGGCCCCCCTTCCGATAACACGCCGGACCCGGGTGCGCGCCAGCAGACTCGGGCCCCACGACAAACAGCCCATTCTTCCAGAAAAGCATAGACCCGCCGCCCGCCGCGACCGTGTTGATGTCCAGCTGCGGCGACTGGATAGTCACACCGGCCGTAGTCGTCTCAAATACGTGCTCATATCGCCCCTCGCCGAACCGAGAGACGTCGGTGCTCGTGCCGCCCATGTCGAATCCGATCACGGGGACCTTTGTCTCTTCATCATAGGACGTGATGGCGTACCCCACAACACCGCCAGCCGGCCCGGATAGAATGGCCTTGAGGCCGGTGAAGTTTTCCACGTCGACTAGACCGCCGTCGCTCTGCATGAACTCGCATCGGGCGCCCTTAGCACCTTCCTCTTGCTGAACGCTCCTCGTCCCTAAACCGCCCTCAAACCCAGCTTGAAAGCCCGAGATGTACTTTTTGATGGCTGGTGTCAGATACGCGTCCGCGCAAACGGATGTCGCTCGCGAGACCAGTTTGATCATGGGCATGAGTTCATGACTGAGAGAAATGTGCTTGAAGCCAATCTCCTTTGCAATCTTGCCGACCAAGGCTTCGTGGTCGGGAAAGGTGTAGCCGTGCATCAAACACACCGCAATACTCCGTATCCCCGAGTCGTAGACCTCTTGCAACTGATCCTTGATACCCTGTACCTCAGGACGCCGCAATATCCTCACAGCCTCCCCCGACGTCCCCTGAACAAGCTCCTCTTTCGCTGCCTCCGGCGTTCCAGCCTTGGCAGACACCCCAGTCAAACGCCTCGTCGGGTCCTCTGCGTAATCCTCCAGCGTAACACGCTCATCAACCTCAACGACCTTCTCATACAACACATCTGGCTTCCGAATCGCCAGGTCAAAGATCTTGGGCCTGCTCTGGTTACCGATGGCGAGGCAGTCCTTGAACCCCTTTGTCACGACCATGGCGATCTTCTCGCCCTTGCGCTCCAGTAAAGCATTGGTGGCTACGGTGGTGCCCATGCGGATGGAATCGATCCTCTTTGTGTCGAGGGCTTCGCCGCGGGGGATGTCCCGGTCGAGGAAGTGTGACATGATGCGCCGGATGCCCTCGAGTGGCGCGTCCTCGTAGTTGGCTGGGTCTTCGGAGAGGAGCTTGATGATTGTCTCTTTGCCGTTGAGTTCGCCGACGCAGTCAGTGAAGGTACCGCCGCGGTCGATGGCGATGCGGATGCCGCGGTCTCGCGAGTCTGAAGCCATTATGACGGTAGACCTCGATAGTGTAAGAATGAGGGGAGGTATGTGCCTGAGAGTTGCGTCGCCCAGGATATCTGGTTCACTTTTCAATTGAAAATATCAGAAAGCTTCACAGCAAGGCCAAAGTAGAATTCAAGGGTATAGACGAAGGCTAAAGATCATGAATTGAACTCGATGATCCGATGACAAATCGTGTAGGCATCGACGTCAACGGGATCATACAACGGAGGGCGCTGCCGATAAGATAAGGAGCTTGGAGCTCCGCACCCCACTACTAGCGTGATCTACCTACCCCGCCCTCCGCACCCGTGGAGTCGTGGACGGACGGGTGCCGAGTGGAGGCGTTCTTGCGCTTCGAGCCGTTGAGGCAATAGAGTGGACTCAATCAATCATACTAAAGTGGAAGTGAGTGTAAGTAAGTATATAATAGCAATGGAAAGGGGAACCAAAAAGAGTTCACCCCCGGTGAGGCTACATCTCTTGGTGCTCATGCTGGGAAATCGAACTCGAACTCGTAGCCTGTCGTCGAGTAGGCTGTTGGCGTAATTTTATTAATTGTTGGCCATAAACCACTCCACCACCCAGCCAGTTTGACCTGACCCCCGACCTAGAGGGCGCCTGCTGGCTGGTGATCGGAATGGACCTGAAGGGGTATATGAAGGCTTCTTGTGTATTCGGGTGGTGGAATATGTCATGGGATGAAGGCTTGGGAAGGTGCCTGAGGTATGGTCTGCACCACTCGCTACCTTTGTCGTCACGAGGTCGATATAGAGGTAAATGATGGTGCTGAATTGTTTTCCCAGGAACTTACTTCTCATCCTTGCCTCAACTCTTTGAGGGTGCGATTGAGAAAGAGACACCAGGGCTGTAGTTTCACGCAAGTAATCGTCACCGATCAAAGAACGCAACATCTTCATGGTTTGTATATGTCAGTCAATTATTAAGTATGTATGTATAGTAATCTTGTTCTCGTCCCCAGCGATGCCAAGTTGCCTGGCATCGGTCGTTTCCATGTCTTTCTTTCAAGTCATATAGTCTTACAAACAGCGACTGCTTTGCGCTGTGCTGCGCTCTCTCGTCTTCTTATCCGATTATTGGTACAAAAAGGGTGTATCGCGCCGGCGCCAAAGGGATGAAAAGGTGGGAACTAGTGGGTGACGACCCTCACAGCCTGGAGCATCATGCCAAACATGAATCCCCGCGCCACCTCTTGAATCTGAAGACTGTCAAAGATGCGGCCCAGTGCGTCAGTCGTCGCCGCCTGTCCCATAACGCCAGTCAAAGCAGCCGGAACACCTCGTTTGATGAGAAGGTTGCGTGCCTTGACGCGTAACTTCTCCTTCTCTTCCTCCGTCATCTCGGCAGGCCAGGTGGCCCGCTCTTCATCAGTCGGCATCGTGTTCTCTCTCAGCTTGCGTAAGTGGTACGCGAGTCCTTCGTCCTTGGTGTTGGCATCGATGACGGATTCCTGCATCATCTTCTGGATTGCGATCAAGGACGGGTTGCCAGGTCGCAAAAGGAACGACTTTGCTGCGGCTAGCAGAGTTCGTCGAATGTTCCAAGCGGACGAGAGCGTGTACATCTCATTAATAATTGCGAAGACCAGCTCAACAGCCACATTTGTTTCTTGCTCCTGAAGAGGAGAGTGTTGCCGTGCAGGCTTCGCTTCCTTCTTCTTCGGTTGCGTCTGTGGAAGACCCGGCGAAAGAGCCCCCATAGAATTGCGCGGAGAGATGACTTCATCCATTTTAGCCTGCATGTCCCCTTGAGTAGGTGACTGGTAGTCTTCTGGCATCTCATCCGGCGGCGGAGGCAGGTATTGAAGGTTCATGACATCGAGACTCGTTAACGAGGGAGAACGCAGGGCGGGCGACTGCAAGGGCGCCAGGCTCGAAGCTCTACTATGTTCGCGGCTGCCAGTAGCACTTGGAGTGTTCCTCTCCCAACGATCGGAGCGAGGCTTGAGGCTGTCTGTCTCGGTATCGCCTCGGGGGTCAAAGCTAGGTCGTCGTTCCATAGGGGCGATTTTGCCTGGCTGAGTTGAGACAATCGAGGATCTCTGGCTGTCGAGACTGTCCCGGCCCTTCCGAGGGCCCACTCCAGTCGTCGGCGAAGTCAGTGCCGCGTTGAGACTGGTAGTGCTGTCCATCCTTGGCGGTGTTCCCGTAGACCAGCGATGATTTGATGTTTGAATCTCCGACAACGAGGATGCGGTGTTCTTTCTTGGGCCGAGACCGATGTTGTTGAACATGCCAGTCACCCCGCCAAATACCGCCTTGCCGCCCTCCATGGCACCCTTGGGGCCCATGGTCAAGACATCCAACATGTTCTTGCCAACCGTGTCCCACGGCAGACCCGACTTGGAATTGCTGTGACCGTGACCCGAGTCTTTCTCGAGGAAGCGTTTCATGCCCTCGCTCTCTGCGAGTGACTTATACCAACAGGCGTCCTTGACGTAGCGCTCCAACTCACCACGAAGCGACTCCCGCGTGTGCGACTTCCAATTAGGAAGCGCAGCATGCTGTTCTGTGAAAGCTGTCACGCCCGAAATATTTGCAATACGTCTCAAGATCTCGTGCAAAGTCTCAAAGTCGGAGTACTGCCTAACAATCATCCAGCCGGGGTAATGAGACGAAGAAGGCTCGATCTGAACCATGTAGTCCCAATTGGGCTTGCTTCGGATACGGTTTTTGTCGTCACCATCCTCATACAGAGTGATGGTAGCATTGTGCAGCGTCAAAGGAAGCTTGCGGGAGCTTTCGTCAGGCACCTCAGGCTCCTCCTTCGCCGGTGGCACGATCTGATCAAAGTTCAAGAATTGGGACGCGCTCCCGGAAGAGACGTGTTTGGATGAAGGCTGCTTCGGTGACGACTTCTGGCTGGAGGAGTCCGTGACAGGCGAGTGCATGCTTTCCCGCTTAGAAACGTCAGACTCATTCGAACCACTCGAACCATTCGTTGAAGGCTTCTCCGCGGAAGACAAGGATCTCGGTGACAGCTCGCCAGGGGAAGACATAATTTTGCCCTCGGTAGTCTGGACTGTCGGTTTAGACGCCGAATCAACGCTCTGTCGCGTCTTGACTCTCTTAGATTCTTCTTCGGCGATCAGGGCGTTCATTCGCTTCATTTCCTCCATGGCCTCCTCCATCTCTTCGTTAGCCTTGCTGAGCTGCTTCTTGTGCGAGACCAAGGATCCTTTGCGGCGCTCGCGTTCCATATCTAACGAGTTGCGGTTTCCCTTGGTCAGTGCGATATTGCCGACGTTTCCGTCAATGTCGATGAATGCATTCGCATTGCTGGAAGCGCTGGCAGTGGCTGCCTCGGGACCCGTTTGCATGCCAACGTCGATGGCCTGACTAAAGTCAGGTTCTCCGGCTTCCAAGAGGTAGACGATCCAGGCATTGATCCACTCCGGCGTCGAGCATGACTGTAAGCTCATCTCAAGAATCACACCTGCTAGGATTTCCCGGAGGAACACGCGAGCAGGATCGCAATTATATGCCGACCGCTCAAGGAACCCAAGGAGGTCGTCTGCGACATTGTGGAATTTCGCAGCCTGTTGGGGCCGACTCAGGAGATTGGCCAGATTCGAGTTTGGGTTTTCTTCGAGATATTTAGAGATGACCTCCGGGGCTGTCGAGTTCGGGTCGTTGTTTTGGTCGGTGAAGGCAGAGGATAACTCGGAGAGGAAGACGATGAACATGGACGATGCATTGGTCATGAAGTCGAGGAAGGAATCGGCGGGTCGTTTGCGATAGAGGTGGTTCGACACAGAGAGAAGAAACGAATTGAGGAGTCTCCGGCAGGAAAGAGGGAATGAGCTGTCCGTCGGAAGGATCGGGTTATACCACCACTTGACATAGTCGCGGATGACGGCGTCGACAAGGCCAGTCAAGGCCTCGCGCGTCTCCGGCTGGAAGTCGTCGAATCCATGAATAAGTCGATCTTCCTCTTCCTCGTCGTTCTTGGGTGGCTCTGCAATCTTGACCAAGGCCAGGCGCTGGAGGACGTCGATTCCTTTCTCGCCCCGGACCGCCCGGGACACCTCTGGATGGCGCGCTTCATACGAAATGAAGGCGACAACACCACCAAAAGCGCCGATCAGGACGAGTCCAACCTTGCCGAGAATGAAGTAAGTCGAAGCTGCCAGGCCGACTGCGATAGCGCCTAGAGTCTCGGGTGTCGCCGTCGACAAAAACTTGAGTACTTTTGTGACCAAGTCATCTTCTTCCTCCACCTTTCCACCAGGCGTTGGCGCTTCCGAACTGGCCGTGGCTGTTGTCAAGGGAGCAGAGGAAATCGTAGTCTTGTCTTCGATCGTATGAGGAATTGTGGATGGTGTCGTTGCAGTTGTTGCCGTTGTTGTTTCGGTGGCCGGGAGCTTCTCGTCGGCGACGGGAGATGCGCCGGCGGGTGGATGCACTTCGGCCGGCGTCGAGTCCATGTTTGCTTAGTTCGTCGGTCTATTGAATTCGGGGGCCGCACCCTCTCTCACACATCCCTAATGCTGGAGGTGAAAAGGCCAAGCGTGCATTAATCGAGCAGAGTAAGAAGCAAATTCAAGAAGGCTTCGTCTGGCCGTAAGCGTAAAGCAAGAGCAGCAAGTGATGGTCGTCGTCAGCTGCAGGCGCAAGCTCTAAAAAAAAAAGTTGGTAGAGGACAGTTGGCCGACCTTTCCGTGAGGTGGTTCTCTCGTCAGCCACACGCAGCTATGGACGGTAGGTACGGAGTAGTGTTTCGAAAAAGTCTAGCAGAAAAAAAAGAGAGGCGTGCGTCAACTTGAAGTGAACCAGAACCAGAATCAGATGTCGTTTTAGGGGGGGCCTAAGCGCTGATGGGACTGGGGGAGGACGGGAAGCGAATTCTTGTTGACGTCCACGGTGGAGTTTCTGGCAGATTGGCCCGCCTTGAATGGGAACGCAGATGTGCTCAAAATGCTCGCCAAAGCTCCAGACTCCTAATTTTAGTGACGGAACCCCTGCAATGGTCCAGTCGCCTAGGTAAAAATCCCCGTGTTTCTGGGCAGTGTTTGTCCACTCTGGTTGCTCTGATTCCACTTGTTTATCAAAACCGTCTGTTGGATCGTCAATAATTGCAGCATGCTTGAGTCTGTAGGCATGGGATCATCAGCATTGAATAGGGGAAAGGGATAGGTAGTGCGGCGCGAGGTATGGACAGATGGACAGAATATGGGGTTGAAACACATCTCAAGCAGCCGTGGAAGGACCATTCTGGTTCAGCTGGTTCAGGAGGCGGCAGATGCGCGCTCGAGGTGAGACAAGATAGCGATGTCCCTTGCATCGAGTGACGCGACAGGGTCTCAATGTTGGAGATTAACGTCTTTTTGGTGCTCTGCGCCGCAAAATTATCCCCCAACTCCCTCCCGTCCTTGGCGTGCAACGTCTCCCCGGACGATATCTACCTTATCTAAGCACGCTACGGAGTACCTAAGCACCTAAGGTAAAGGAACCTCATCTCGAGAACGATGGCTCATCACGTGCCCTCGCGTCACATGTGCAGGACTGGCCGATTACGTCATCTGCTGAAAGTCGCGACAGACCACTTTACTCGACCGACCGCAACGCGACTGCCAGGTCATTGACAACTCATTGTGCATGCGAATGACAACACATTCGTGATTGCATCTCGACTCTTTCAATTTTTTCAGCCTTGATACCCGCGCCAATCTTTCCGTGCTGACGTTAAGCCACAATCTTACCTACCATAACAACCATTGGTACAGCAATTTAGCGACAATCCAGTCAACCATGCCATTCACCAAGGGTACTAAGCGCGCCGCCCCGCGCGACTCGCGCAGCGATTCCGAAGACGAGGTCATCACCAAGTCCAACAAGAAGACGAAAACAGCTAAGACCGGCGGAAGCAAAGATGGAGTTGACAAGGACGGCAACTCTTTCTGGGATGTGAGTTGTCTTTCTTCTTTCCACCTTGGATGCCCATTTCCATCTAGTTTATCAAAACTTGACCCCCTCATAGGTCTTCTATTAACATGTCTGGCTTCCTCTTCACAGCTCTCCAATAAGCGCCGCATAGGCCTTTCCCAATTCAAAAACACCACTTTTGTCAACATCCGCGAGTTTTACGAAAAGGACGGCGACATGCTACCGGGCAAGAAGGGCATCTCCCTCACCGTACCCCAGTACGAGGCCCTCGTCAAGGCCATGCCCGCCATCAGCGAGAAGCTGCGCGCCATGGGCCACGACGTCGAGGACGTTGAGGAGGACGGTGGCGCCTCCACTGCGATCGAGGCCCCGAAGCCCGCGGCCAAGGAGATGTCACGAGCCAAGAAGTCCAACATCGAGGCCACCAGTGACGAGGAGTCGGATTAGGATTCGGATTCGAGTGACGATGACGATGACAACGAGTCTAAGTCTAGTGCGGATTCGGGAAGTGACAATTTCGATTCGGGTTCGGAATCCGACTGAGGGAAAGGGGGGCAGGCGTTATTGAGATGAAAAGTTGCACGCGGCCTGCGTGTTTGTTTTGTTGCTTTGTCCTGATCATGATAAGACGGGATTTGATGTTTGACAAAGGAGCGCGGGCGGGAAACTAAGGTCATGTTCTTCGCGGGTTGCAATTGGTGGCTAGCTTAATCTGATCAAGGTTCGGACTCCGGGCCTCGTGTGTTGTGACCTCAAGTATCTCGGCATCGAGTTCGTCTTGGGGACATGCCTACATGCTTCATCAATTTTTTTTTTTTGCATGTTCGTCTGGCCAAGAACTTCCATTAACCCATCTCGAACCGAGCAAAAGGCTGGGCTGATTCTGATACTGGCCGGACGCCTTGCACGAAGATATTAAACAACAGGATACACGAACAGGACTCGTTCAAAGATTTTCTAGCGCGTCCAACGCTAACGAGGGTCGAGGACTCGGGCAAATAAGTCTTGCATGGAATTCTGCGAGCATATAATATGGATTCCGAGCCAAACACAAGCCTCCATCGTTCATAGCCAGTGAAGTAAGAACGATACCAACTTTGTGCGTCTACTAGAGATGATCCTCTGGTCATCCCTGGCTGCCTAAGAGCTTGCGTCAACACAGTGTTGTGATCCAGCGAACGTCAGTCAGCTTGTGTGTCGCCGACTGCCGAGGAAAGTATGGAAAGCCATGTAGGCGGCGGATATTCAGTCCAAGAACATTGACAGGAACTTGCCTTTACACTTTTCGCAGACTCGAGAGTTGAGGTGTCCAGTTGAGAATGTATCCTGAATATAGTGAATGTGTTCTGAAGAGACGCCAGAGCGATGTCTGGTACCTACGCACTGGGGCCACGGCTAGAACCCAGCCTTACTATCGATCCGGCCTATATCCTGAGTTTTCTCATAGGTTGCATGTTGTAGAGACTTACCTCTTGTCTTCAATCCAAATCGAAATGCGAGATAGCCCTTTCTAATGCTTCATGAGTGAGAACCCAGCAGGCTCTCGTCCGAGATTTGGAACCGGAGGATTACACAGCACGGTACCCTATTGGGAGAGAGGAGGAGACATCCGAGATAGATATCGCACTCTGAAAGTGAAATCAACAGTCTTGTAGGACTCTACTCGAAGGTGGAAGTGACAGAGCCTATTGAGTGTTGGCAAGACATCAGCAGCGTCGTTGACAACGTCTGCTGTATTTACGTACTCGACGAGGTTACAGAAACAGAGTCCTCAGATGTGAAGTTCTTGTTGCAGAGATGCAGAAAGGCTTCGGCTGTGATGTACGAAAGATCCAGTATACTGGCGAAACTTGTTGAGCCAACGATGTCTTTGGCACAAGGACCAGATGGCATACGAGGCAATTACCAATTAAAATGCGATGTCGGTCCTACATATCATATGTACCTGATGTTCTACACGTCTCGTTCTCTCATTGTAATACTTTGGCAGAATACAACCCCCCCTCGCAGCATACGGTATTTATGACACCTTTGAAGTTGAAGATTTCCTGGGATCCTACAAAGCACATTGGTTGATAGGCATAACTGGCTGGCCGGATTCCAGGAAGATGTGTGTTTACCAAGTACCTTTCCCAGGCCGCTGACATGCCTCTTTAATTTCATGGTTGAGATCTTTCTGCTAGTCCGCTGGCCGACCTACAACGCCACTGTATGATTTGCCTTCTAAGATAGGCTTGGAAGGCCGCAGAGATACCGAAGCCGTCACGCCGGAAACTGCAATGGACTGCCAGACGCTGTTGAAGGTCGCAACGGCCCCGAATGGAACCACGACCACCGGATACGCCCCGGCCGGCTATGGTCCATCAACGGGACGGATGTTGCGACTAACTAAACACGAACCCCGGCCGGTATCCGTACTCCGTAGACCATGCCGCGTAAAACGGATCTAGACAAAAGGTCTGTGTTTTACAGATAAGGCAGAAGAAACCAATCAACCCATGCATATCCTACAGACCCCCAGCTTCGCTTTTGCGCCAGCGCAAATTAAACAAGACCCATACAGCTATCATCATCGCGTAATTACAAGCGGGAGGCACTTTCATCTTCAGTGCATGTTTCCGGCCGAGGTTTACGGAAACAAACTTCAAGCCTCTATTGGTGGCCTCAACGATCGTTGGCAAGCACATGCTTTCTTCTCTTTCCACCATCAAACACATTGAGAGTTTCCCTCTAATTTCCAAATTTCCCAATTTCACGTCCCCTCATGTCAAATGTTTGATGATCCCGTCGATAATCATCAGCATTAAATTCACTAATACCATTTAATGGGGGGGAGGGCCCATTTTAGTGTATGGTTTGGGGTCCGAAAAAAAAGAAGTTAGGTAGTCGCCGGTGTCTGCCCCGGCGCCCGTTGTAACCCCCCGCAATCCTCCCTTCATTTCGTTGAAACGCTTCTTTTCTTTCCGTGTGAAAAACGGTTGTCACAAACGGCCGTTAGTCCCCTTGTCTAGGAAACCACCTACCTAGGGAAGACGATCTCTCCTTGTTTCAATGTCTCTTCACCGAGATGTGGCTCACCCGCGCTCACCTTACTTTACGCCACAGATCCAGAAAACATCATGAGCTCTGGGAACTCAGAACTTGGAACTTCAACGTCCACGATATGGGGAGTGCCGTGATAGACTTGCACCGTCGCCTTAGATGCCTCCTCTCTCTATCATGTCATCGAACCTAATATTCGCAACCGGAGCAGTGCATCCGCGGCTTAGCCCACGCATTACGGCCGCGAATAAGCCCGGATGCCCGATCCGCTGACCGGGTGGCTGTGCCGTTCGGACGGCCCCTCTGGCGGACCGTGGATGACGACGACGTCCACGTCGCCCCCCGATGTGCCATTGGCGGTCTTGGTCTTGGCTTCCTCCATGAGCCGTATTTAGAATCGCCCGACTGTCTGCCTGCAATGAGGACGGTGTAAGTGGACTCCCGTACACGCTGAGTGATGCGCCGTTTACAAGCGTGGAGGTGTAAGTGCAACTGCTACTGCATTCCTCCCCCTCACCGTCGAATAGTTCGTATCGAGGGTTGTGTACGTTTTCCTTCGCAGTATCTAACGAGTGATCTTTTCCTCGGGTTTTGGCGTTTTCCTTCGCATAATGGATATAACGAGAGCCATCCACTTGTGTCCTAGTGGGTGGCATGGTCCTCTTCCTCGTGCCGTGGTATCTCTCCCCCGCAGGCCGTCGCCGATGTTGCCGGAATTATACCAAATTCGTCTACACGGTTCTCATACCTCAGGAGCACTTGGGACCAATGCAGGTACGAATACTCATCAGATAGAGAAAGACGATAGACGGGCAATGTCCGGCCTCTACTTGTAATTCCCTAAGCCACGAGCTTTTTGAAGTCACCGACGCCATGTTGAGCATAAGAGGGACAGCGATGTGATGGACGCTGCAACCCTTTGCCATCGCCGAGTGCTGTTCTCCAAACATCCCTTCTCGCGGAACTGGTTCTTTGGTCTTTTTAAGCCGAATGAAGTTCTGCTGCTGTTTTGTCAAGTGAAGTCATTTCTGCCCTGGTTTGTTCGTTCCACGAAAAAATACCGTGATGGAAGCAGGGTAGTTTATGCTAACCTCCCAGCCGGACATCTACGTATTTATTCGCCTTCGATGCAAAGACTGATGCTACAGATTACCTGGTGCTGCATATATTATGGAGCTTATCGGCTGGAGTTCACAGATTGGCTAGCCTGCGTCTTTTGTCATCGTAATGCGGATCAAGACTCATGTTGGCAAGTGTTGGGTTGTTCTCCATCGTGGTTTTGGATGGGCACACCCGTTTACACGATGAATCTCCTACCACTAGTCGTTGACTTGACTCCTTCGAATTAGGCAGCCATTTAAGAAAATTATTACGAACGCAAACGCAGGTTTGTAATGTGATTGCCCAATCCATATCAGCCCATAGACTCAGCCATCTTCAAACACGCGCCTTCACAGACCAAAGGACGAATCAACTTGGCTTCACTTCTCACTGAGCGGGAACCAACAACTTGGCATCGTCGCAACCGTCGCGATACGTTGCAATCTTTCTAGTGTAGGCCACTGCATTTACCTCGGGCTGGCCCGCCAAAGTCTAAAAGGGAGCTGAGGGACTAGGGAGACCGCGGCACCGAAGACGACAGCAAAAAAAAAAAAAAAGTTTAAAGTAAAGGACTTTTGAAGGGGGGAACTTGACGGACGCCCGCAAGTCCGCAGATACTGACAGAGAAAAAGGGCTCGGTCTAGAATAGCAACTGTGAGTTGCGGCAGAGAGGGTGTGGTATAGAGTTCGGATTGATTTGAGTTTGGGGGACAACATCGGATTATCGTCATTGACGGGAAGTCAGGTATGTTCCAGTATCCATTTGGGGGGGAAGAAGAGAGAGAGCTTGGCCACTTGGAGACGGCGGTATCATGTGACGATCAAACAGCAATGCAAGGCCCGCATGCCTCGGTCAGCGAAGCGAGCTGAAGAGCGTAAAGTAAGGTCAGGCAAGGGCTTTCCCTTTGCATCGCTCAGAAACGGGCATGTGGGATGGGATCGGATAGATTTCTCTTTTTCCTGTCCCTGAGATGTTCAAGCGAGTGCGCGTCATTCGCAAAAAAAAAAATAGGCGGATGGACCTAGAGGAAGCCCATTGGATTACCTAGGCGCGAGAGAGGCGAATGAACAGCAAGCAGAAACATGAACTCGTTGTGGCCGCAGCAGGTTTTCTGGCAACGGACGAGGCGATTCAGCCCCAATGGCGGGGAACAAGGCCACCCGGGTCGGTGTGTGGCGTCAGCGGGGAAAGAGCCGGGTCCGGGATGGTGGCTTTTTCTCGGTGAGGGAAGAATCCGCGCATAAGGGTCCTCGAGGGCTGAACAGAGGCGAGGCGAGGCCAGGTCTTGGGCGTTGGGATGGTGAAGTTCCGCGGATTGGGTATGAGACAATGGGTGCCAGTGGGTGAGATGGTTTGAATGGTGAATGCTTGAATGCGAGAAGGAGAGCGAGGCTGAGCATCTTGAAGTGGAGACGCAACGAGAAGGCATGCAGGCACATTGGCGCACAGCAGGTTGGAGGCCATGATCCGTGGAGGCGTCGTCACCTTGGGGCAATTGTGGCGTCGATACGTCTTTTCCTTCCTCGAATGCCTCTGCCTCTGTTTTTATTAATTTTATTTTTGGAGACACACGCAAAGGTTAAGCCCCCGCAACTTGCAAAGATGCGCATGTCTGCAGGCACGTACCTACCAGGTAGTACGGAGTAAGGTACTTGCCCATGGTCCATGCTTGAAGTATGAGGAAGGAGGTCCACAGCGTTTGACCCCTGGTCATCAAAGGGAAAGCGCCGGTTACCCTGTCAATGAGCTTCGGAAGATGACCCCCCTCTTTGCTTAGAATTAAACAACGGATCCCAGCAGCACATGCAACCACGGGAACGCGACACATCGAATGGGCGACGAACGGCTGTTGCGGCACTTGCTGATTGCTTGGAATCTCTGGCGATCCGTCGCGGGTACCTTGCGCGGCGCAGCGAACAGGAACTCGTTCGGGAGATGGGGGGAGGAGAGAAGAAAGAAGGAAAGAGGGCTCCAACTTGCAAGTCGAGGGTGGGAGAGCATGTTCTTACTGAGCCTATGAATTCGGATTCGATCCGAATACTGACCATGCAGGCATAGGTACCTTGTGAGAGAAAATACGGAAGCTTGTTGAAAGTGCTACTAAAGTGTGGCAGATGAACGGACAGAAAGGCCGGGCGGGAAATCGGACATGTGGACAGACATTTTTGACGGCTTGCCGTGCAGACAGACAGCACCTCAGTATGCGTAAATTATTAGGGACAGACTTTCACGTCACCTTCATGTAAAAAAAAGTTGCAGTCGACTCTGGCGTGGCCATCCCATCCACACACATCTCGAGCTGGAGCACAATGCCGGCCTGCTTGCTTTTTGGTTCAGGGACCCAATCATGGCCCGTACTCAGTCACATCCCTCGCACCCCAAACCTGGAAAGCTAGGTTCCCCCATCGCTATGGTGTTACTGTTGGTTTACCCCCTCTGCCCGCTAAGCTCGTCACACGCACCACCACCTCTCACATCTTTTGGGTTGCTGGCATCCGCAGGCTTTCAGAGCCGAAGGGGGACCCTGACATGTCCACCCGTGAGGCACCCGTGAGGCCCGCGGCGACGTCACCCGCCCCCCAATTGCTCCGATGAAGGCCACAAATCACTATCCGTACATTGAGAAGTCTTCTCGAAGCTCTTGACCAGAGATACAAGACGCTGGCGCCGTTGAACAAGCACATCCTGCCGAGGTACCTATGTACCTATAGGAAGGCAAAGCAATCTGGCACTAAGCCGATATCAAGAGTACAGAAGCGAAAAAGGCGCCGCGCCATACTTGAAACGCGACAACTCAACCTCCATTTTGGATGGCGCAAACTAAGAGGTACCGCCGTAAGATACCTTAGCTGCGGATCCTTCCTAAGTTCCTCCAACTTGGAGCCCACACTGCCTTACCGATACCGCGTAATTATGTATGAGATCTCATGGGGCAGAAAAAGGCTGACTGCACTTGCCTGCACTTGGTGAACAGCTCCACGCCTGCCTTGCTACTTCTGGATGGCTGCTTCTGTTGCTGCTGCGCAACGGTGTTAAACGAGTACCTTCCCTCTCAAAGCCTCCACAGCTTGTTTGCGACTGGCAACTGCGCACCTGCCTGCGGTCGCTCCTTCAACCATCGCTACCCCTGTCCATAAGGAAGGCACATAGGAAGGTACTCCTCCCACGCTCTTTCTCAAGTGCCCATCCCACCAACACAACCACCACACAAATCCCCCCGGGTCCCACCCATCCTGGTCATCTTGCGTCCTGCCCTGCCTCCCGCAGACAATCTGCTACGGCTCAATCAGCTTGAAACCGTGCCTACCTAGGTTTCTTGAGAGACGTCCTCCTTGACCTCTCCCACCTTTCAACGTTTCGACCGAACACATCCCTTCTTCTCCTCCTCCCTCACAAATCACAAGTTCACTCCTCCCGCAGGACCACAGGACCCCCCCTTGGATCTCTCCCGTCCAACCCCGAAACCCGCCAGGCGCATTGAGTTGAGCACCGACCCGCGCGGCCATACCGCATTCCTCACCATAGCCCTCACCATAGCCCTCACCATAGCCCTCACTGCCCTCCTCAAGCTGTGCAACCCAACCGGCAACCTCCTTGAACCACCTACCCTACCCTGTCTGGGATTGGAAGGCGAGAAAGCACGACCAAAACCTTGCGCACCTCACCCACCACAACTGCACCTGAGTACCTCACGGGGAACCAGAAGCAAGAGAAGAAAAGAATAGGGGCTCAGCTTACCTGAAAGTTGGACTGGCGACAGAGACCGATCCGACGACTGCGAAAAGGTGCGACTGTCTTTGCTGCGCGACTGCAACTCTGCGACTCGAATCTCTGAGAAGCGCCGAACGGTCCCAACTTTCCCATCCTATCCACTTTCCATCTCGACATCTCCTTCCTCTCTCTCTCCCTCTCTCCCTCCAGCGTCCACCTCAATCTACCTACGCCTACAACGTCTCTGACTGGTCAAGATCCAAGTCTGCACAGCACGGCGCATCCATTCGCAGCACTGCCAACGCCGCCGGCCTCCCAAGGAAGCAGCATCCCGCTCTCCCCGAGGGACGCGAATCGTCTACCCGATCCATATTCATATCCACCCACGGACTCTCCTGGCCACAAACATCAGACACTGGTTCCTGTGATTGACCCCCCGTACCATCGCAACCATGTCGTATAATCGTTTAGGCAAGTAACTTGGTCCCCTTCTGATATTGTCCCTTGGCGTCATTCATCCCACATCTTCCTCTCCCTCCCGCACAAAGCCCACGACCTGATTTGAGCCCAACAATACCCTACCCTATGGTCTTCGGTCAAATCATCTCGTCATCTGTCCCTGACCGCACTGTCTTTGTCAAAGAGCTTGCTTGTCCGGCGCATACTGCATCGAGAGAGTACGAATACGCACCTTCCGTGGCGCAAGCTTCTTTTCCTCACCCACAACTACCTGCTTCTTGCCTTCCTAATATCATACTTCCGAGTTACGGCAACTTGATTGTGTAGACGGCCAACCTAACCTTCTCTCCCCATAGACGACGATTACTACAACGACCGGATGGACCCCCGGTACCATCGTACGCCTTCGCCAGGCCAGCCGGCTCAGCATGGCTATCAGTTGGAGGACAACCCATTCAACAACCAAGCACAGCAAGGATACCACCAGCCTCCTCCTCAACATGTCGACGACCCGTATGGCCGTCCCAGCCCTCATTCTCAGCTTGATATTCCCATGGCGCCTGGCCGCTACGGCACTCCCAGTGATCAATTACAACTGAACGCAGCAGTAAGCAAAGCCCAAGACCCTTCCCATGGAACTACACTAACAGACGTTTGCCAATAGCACTCTGTTAGCAACTTGAGCGGGTACGATACACCAGTCAACCATGGCGACTATGGTGTCAACCCGGAAGCGCATCATGACGCCTACTATAACCAGTCTTACGAACCTTCACCCCACGATCCTGCACACCCTTACGATCAACCTACTGGATACAACGAGTTTGACGACAACAGGCCAATGCTGCCCCATCAGGACACTGTGACCACCGATGGAGGATACCAGGACAACCCGACACCACAGCCAGCTGGAGGAGGTATCAAGAGGTGGAAGACCGTCAAGCAGGTTCTGTTGTACCGCGGAAACTTGGTTCTCGACTGTCCCGTGCCCCCAAGACTGCTTAACCAGCTTCCTCACGGCGAGCGTGACGAGTTTACCCACATGCGCTACTCCGCAGCCACTTGCGATCCGAACTTCTTCTACGACGACAACTTCACACTGAGACAGAGGCTGTTCTCCAAGCCGAGACATACGGAGCTTTTCATCGTCGTCACCATGTACAATGAGGACGAAATCTTGTTCGCGCGGACAATGATTGGTGTCTTGAAGAACGTCGAGTACATGTGCAGCCGGAAAGAGAGCAAGACTTGGGGCAAGGATGCCTGGAAGAAGATTGTTGTCTGTGTCGTCAGCGACGGTCGTGGCAAGATCAACCCAAGAACGCGAGCGCTGCTGGCCGGTATGGGTGTCTACCAGGAGGGTATCGCGAAGCAACAGGTCAACGGCAAGGATGTCACGGCCCACATTTACGAGTACACCTCCCAAGTCGGCATGACGATCAAGAATGATGTCGTCACCCTGGTTCCCAAGCAGCAGCCCGTTCAGATGCTTTTCTGCTTGAAAGAGAAGAACTCGAAGAAGATCAACTCCCACAGATGGTTCTTCCAGGCGTTCGGCCGCGTTCTTGACCCCAACATCTGTGTTCTCATCGATGCCGGTACCAAGCCCGGTGGAAACTCCATTTACCACCTGTGGAAGGCTTTTGACCTCGAGCCCATGTGCGCTGGCGCTTGCGGTGAAATCAAGGCTATGTTGGGAACTGGTGGAAAGCACCTTCTCAACCCCTTGGTGGCAACGCAGAACTTCGAGTACAAGATGAGCAACATTCTTGACAAGCCTTTGGAATCCGCCTTTGGCTTCATTTCTGTGTTGCCCGGTGCTTTCTCAGCCTACCGCTACGTTGCTCTGCAAAACGACAAGAACGGCCAGGGTCCATTGGAGAAGTACTTTGCTGGTGAGAAACTTGAGGGTGCCGGCGCTGGTATCTTCACATCTAATATGTACCTCGCCGAGGATCGTATTCTCTGCTTCGAGCTTGTCACGAAGAGAAACTGCCATTGGATTCTACAGTACGTCAAGTCTGCTACCGGCGAGACTGACGTGCCGGATACCGTCACGGAGCTTGTCCTCCAACGTCGTCGTTGGTTGAACGGTTCTTTCTTCGCTGCCATCTACGCTATTGCCCACTTCTACGAATTCTTCCGGTCCGATCACTCCATCCTGCGAAAGCTCATGTTCTTCATCGAATTTGTTTTCAACACGATCAACATGATTTTCGCATGGTTTGCCATTGGTAACTTCTTCCTGGTCTTCAAGATTCTTACGACGAGTTTGGGCGAGGACAACTTGCTTGGTAGGACCGGCGAGAT